ATAAGAATCATCAGCATATAGTTGACTAGAGAAAGAAAAGTTATTAATAATACGAGGTAGTTCAGAAGTATAGAGTATAAATAGAAGAGGGCCAAGGATAGAACCCTGAGGTACCCCGAAAGTAAGAGTAGAGGAGTTAGAAGTAGAATTATTGAGAACAACAGAAGAAAAACGATTACAGAGATAAGAAGAAAACCAAGATAGACAAGAATCAGTAATATTAAAAGAAAGATGCAGCAGTCTCAAGAGAATAGTATGGTCAACAGTATCAAAAGCTGAAGAAAAGTCAAGAGCAAGAAGAAGAGTAAGATTACTATTGTCACTAGAGAGAAGGATATCATTGTGTATTTTAAGTAAAGATTAAGAAGAAGATGATGATGAATAGTAGGAAAATGATAATGGAGATGTTGAAGATGACGAAGAAGATGATGACGAGAAAGATATTTCCCATGTAAGTTATGAGTGGAGTGAAGGCGTGACAAAATCTGAAAATGTTTGATAATGATTTATTATTGTTGTTATTAATATATTTTGTTATTGTTATCATTGATAATATTATTATACTTGTTCAAACTTTTCTCCATTGGGCAAGAAAAACTCCAGCAATCCGTCCATCCATTTACTCATTCATTCATTGATCCATCCATCTATCCCCACTATCCATCCATCCATTTACTTATTCATTCATTTATCCATCCATTTATCCCAACTATCCATTCATTTATCCATCCATCCATCCATCCATCCATCCATCCATCCATCCATCCATCCATCCACCCAACCAGCGTTTATTTGAAGCGCTAGATAAATAAATAGGGCATCGCGAGGAAGGACTGTGTTGTATAAATAAATGAATCCGTAATATTCTAAACGCGCGCGCGCACTCTCACCTACATTAAATAACTTGAATAACTCCAATAACATAAACAACGTTAATATTGAAGTACCTACATGTGAACATGTACCTACTAGCTACGAATATAATATTAAAATAACATTTCACGTACGTACGCGTGTGTTTTTTAACGATGGTCTCATTTTTTAGGCACTACATTCTTAAGGATGGCAAGGCTGCATCACGTGCGTCTGCTCGATGCTGTGGGGGTAGTATTCATGGTGATCGTGGGATACACAAGTTTGTGGCTCTTCCATTTGTGAATATTTTTGATTCAAAAACTTTTTAAATTTAAAAATTGGTGAATTTTTTCGGTTCAGTCAGGGTTTCCATCGTTATTTCTGATCCATAAAGTTGCACAACTGCACAATAAGCAAAAAACTAACGGAAAACTCTTTCAGAGAGAAGTTTGAGAAAAAATTAATCAGGAGAGGGGTAAAAAATTTCCATGCCCCCGTGGACCCCATTAACGTACAGAAAATACCCTTATACAAACATTTACACATAGACAAAAATGTACAGGCTTATAGTTACAAATACAAAAAACATGCACGCACTTATAAACAAACTTACATAGGATGCAATAACACAGCAATCTACTGTACACGTACAAGCGTACAAACATTCACACTTGCCAGTTACAAGCAGAGACAAATATTTAAGTGCGGACATACAGATATGGAAACATATACGGACGGACAAACGCACACTAACGTATGCACATGCACAAAAACAAACGAGGATTTGTTTGAAAAAACCCTACCCGGTGTTGAATCTTTCAATCAATTAGACGAGAAGTGTACCATCTGGCCGATGTGCTCCACGTAGTAAACAATTTATTGCTTATGAAAATAAACGAACGTTAACAATTTGAATAATGATGTTTCTCTTCTTGGCATCGTCGATAACAAACGCCATAATGCGGCAGAAGCAGAGCACATAAATTATTTCCGCATTTGCTATTTCTTCAACATTTTTTACCAGAGCATAAACTTACACACGTGCACGCAAGGACATAAATAAGCATTAAATGTATTTACCTAAATACGTACATATGTTTCTCTCATAATATAAAACCACAAGTTCGAATAATATATGTAGTAGTTAGACATACAAAGAGCTGTTACATCCACATGAACAACAACCCCCGACAGGAACGCCGTCAAACACTTTCATGTTCACATCAACCAACCGCTAGTAACATATCCATATGAGCGGCAGACATTTTTATGATCGAATCAGTTCACCTTCAATCCATCACGGTAACATTTGATGACCTCCTACAAATATGCAGGCAGACAGGACCTAACTATGACAGCATAATAAAACAAAATGCATCTGCTGCTGTTGGGACGCCATGTATTATAGATTATTGTATACACTGACTTTCATTAAACGCGCCATACTAATATTATGCTACAATATATACGTAGATGCAATCCAACAATGATGTAAACATAAATTAACAAACGAAGAAATGGAGGGACGAAAATTTATGTGAATGAATCTAAAACGAAATGAGTGAACCAGGTTTATGAAGGAGAGATTTAAATACTAGAACTCTGCAGAATGAACATGGCACTCACTTGTTGTCCATCTGTTGAAGCACTGTGTAAATGATGATGGCAGAATGGGGAGAGTTTGAAAGTACAACTTCCCGTCCCAATTGCTGATCATCCGGATTCATCTCATCTACCACCACAGTGCTCCATCAATAGAGGTTAGAGGATATTATAATCGTATATATATATATATATATATATATATATATGCATGCGAATCCATGTACCAGAGGGATATGCTCCCAAAATTTTTTTGGGAGCATATCTGTAAGGGTTAATTGTTTGGGAGACATCACTTACCAATTCATTTTTCATCGCTATAGAATACTTGCTCAGAAGTTCCATACAAATACAAGAAAGTATTCGTTTTCTAACAGAGTGATCTCTATTTGGAACAATTTACCGACATGCGTTGTTGAATCAGATACTGTTTCCAACTTCAAGAGGAATTTTGACTTATATATGGCCAACAAAGATTTTCTCTATGATCATAAAATTGACATTGTTGTTTGATTGCTTTTTATTGTCTTTTAGTGCTATTTTGATATGGGCATATACAACTTACGTTTAAGCCCATTATTTATTCATATATATATATATATATATATATATATATATATATATATATATATATATATAGAGAGAGAGAGAGAGAGAGAGAGATGGTATACTTTATGGTCAACCGTACCTGCAGTAGCAGGTCGGAAATTCCCACCCATATATTATATCGTTTTTATACGATATAGGTTGGATGATAACTACTAGGCAAAATGGTGATACTGGGCATCTGGAAAATTTGGGATTTGAGAGTGGGGTTTTTCGTCATCTAAATTAAGAGAGGAGGGTGGATCGAATAAAGCGGTCAAAAATAGAATAAAAAGATGGAAAAATTCAGAGAAATGACTTCAGTGCTGTGTTCCAAGGGTATACTATCGAGTCTGAAAGGTAAGGTATATAAAGCATGTGTAAGAGGTCGCTTGTTGTATGGGAGCGAAACTTGGGCTATGACGGCTGAAAACTTAAAAAGGCTGGAGGGTACAGAAATGCAAATGTTTAGATGAATAATAGGAGTATCCTTGAGGAATGGTCTAAGAAATGAGGTAATAAAGAAAGGTTTAGGGATAGATGAGTTGTCAGATGCAATTAGAGGTATTAGACTGAGATGGTTCGGTCATGTGGAGAGGAAAGCAAATGAGTACTGGGTAAAGAAATTTAGAACTATTATAACTAGCGATTTAAGGAAAAGTGGCAGACCCAAGTTCACTTGAGAAGAAGTGTTCTCAAAGGACATGAGGGCACTAGACCTGAAACCAGAACTGACCTAGAATAGAGAAGAATGGAAAAAACGGTTAAATGTGCGTGATCATGCGACAAGGTCAACCCGTGGCTTTCATCTACAAAACTCTGGAGCGAACACTGGACGGTTAGCCTACCAGGGTTGAGCGCCTATAAACGTACGTGATGATGATGATATACATACATACATATATAATTTATATATATATATGCAAACACACAAATGTATAAATTACTGAACTTTACAAAAAAAGATTTATTCACATTGTTCTTTTTGAAATACTTCTTTGTATACATACATACATACATATATATATATGTATATATATATATTATATAATATATACATAAATGAAAAATGATTGGCCTAAAGCTACAACGATAAAAGAAACTAGTGCGGTAGTAGTAAAAAAATTAACAAATGAATGAATGAATAATTATTCCACGCCAACATTCACAATCGTACCACGTCAATTAATTAGTTAATTAATCATAACGAACAAAACAAATAGTAACCATATTAATTATTATCACCATTAGCTCGTTATACATCAGTATGAAAAATTTATTCATTATAATTTTAAGTGTGGAAATAATAATAATAATTAATAAATAGGTTGAGTTAAAACACGAACACGAACGAAGATATGAATGAAGCTTAAATTGTACATTGAAATATAAATCTTCTGACCAGTCAACCCACGTTCTAATTTCAATCATGATGACGATGACAAGACCATGACAATTATCCTGCGACGACAAAAAAACTTATAATTACATAAATCTTTAAAAGTCAGAAAAATAAAACAATTTACACTCGACGACGGTACGCCGAGGAGTAACGATAGAATATTTATAGCTATGAAAATAAAAACAGACGAAAAAATATTCCGTTTCAGGAGGCAAGTTTCCACAGGTTCAATGTAAAAACATCCATCATTCATTCATCCATCTAGCTATCCATCATTCATCTATCCATCATTTATCTATTTCCCATCCATCATAATCACCCTTCACCAACAATCGCCACCGTCATTACTCCTCATTAATTTATCCATTTCCCATTCTATCATATAATTTAATTGCAAAGCACATAATTATTTCACTCCTTATAAACGTGCTTATTTCATCTATCTATCTATCTATCTATCTATCTATCTATCTATCTATCTATCTATCTATCTATCTATCTATCTATCTATCTATCTATCTATCTATCTATCTATTCATTTATCTATCAATTCATATCTCTCTTTCCTCTCTCTCCCCCTATCTATCTACCTATCTACTTAACCAACAAACTAATTAATCGACCATCAATCAACCATTCAGCTTCCTACACATACAACGAATCGTTCAATTGTAACAGAAGACGACAATACGATACAGTACAAATACAATAAGACAAGAGGAGATAATAAAGAATGTATGATGTTTCTGGATGCACTCTCCTATCTATCAAACGTGTTCCCATGTAGCTCGCTCATTCGTCGTACGTGCCTACCTTTATGAAATCTAGTACTAAGACTACTCGGATGATGAGAATAATAATGAAAATAATGATTAGCATTAATAAAAATCCTAACATAAATGACAAGAAGACATCTGTTTGAGAAACACAACAAACAACTGACAAATAAATACAAATCACCCGCCATATAAATATGACGAACAGAATATAAAAATAAACAAAAACAGCAATAACAATAATACCAAGAACAACAATGAACATAGTAGTTTGATATAAACAGTTTAGTCCGCATTGATTGGCTGATAAATCAATCAATCAATCAATCAATCAATCAATCAATCAATCAATCAATCAATCAATCAATCAATCAATCAGTTAGTTAATTGAATGAATTAATTCAATTCAATTAATTGGATGAAGAAGGGTTGTCGTTGTCATCGATGGTGATGGGGCCCATCTGCTGGAGGGCAGCCAACCTCTGCTTCATGCTCTCCTGCTGCATTCTCAGCAGTCTTTCATGCTCCATCTGTTGCTGGCGATGGGTGAATGAAAAATGAATAAAATATTCTCATCAATCAATAAATCCAGTAAGCAAATAAGGAAAAGAAAAATAAATAGAAGGAGAGATGGAAGTGTGGATGAGCGGACGAATGGAGAAGGCACATGAAAGAAACCTGCATAAGGGCCCTCTGATGTTGTTGTTGCTGGGCCATCTGGTACTGCATGTACAGGTTGGCCTTCTCTGTCAGCTCATCTTGAGAGAGGTTCGGGTACTGTTGGTCGTGTTGTTATTGAAGGAGTACAACAGGTGCTATAATAATGATGACGACAACCACAACAACAACAGCAGCAACAACAATGATTATAATAAAATTCCTAAAATTGATCGTAACATCTGAAAAGTAGCATGAGTTGGCAAACAGGGAACCTGCATATTCGTACGATCGTGCAGCTAAGAAAGAAGAGCCAACCAACCAACCAATATGACACGAAACGAATTGATGGGCAGAATTATTTGAAATGAAAAATGACAACGATATAGAGTGGAATCAAGGACGAAGAAGGAGATGACTCCATGTCACAGACCTGCATATACATGGCTTGGATGAACTTCTGCACATCTGGTACATACTTGCCTGAAGATGCGTACATGTCACCATACATATTCGTCTGACCCAATATACCTGCCATATTCATCCATCGATCATGATAATTGATTTTTAGAGGTTTATAAATTTTTTAGTTTGGAAATAGAAACATTATTCCGTTTAATTTACAAGAAAAAGAAAAAAAGAGAAAAAGACAGAGGAAAGAAGAATGATAGAAAAAGAAAATGAGAGAAAGAGAGAGTGAGAGGAATGAGAAAAAGAGAGAGAAATGAGTTAAAGAGAGAGGAATAAGAGAAAGAGGGAGTAAGAGAGAGAGAGAGAAAGAGAGAGCAACTGAAAAAATACAGACTTGAATAAAGAGGGTTGTGTCTGTTGGTGAAGACCCCCTTCTTCTCCTGCTCGAACTCCTCCCACGCAGCCTTCCTCTCTTCCTCGGTCAGCTCCTCCTCAGGCCTGTTCTCGAGGAGGGAGTCGTGTTCGTGGTACTGCACGATCCACTCCTTGCAGTCGGTCATCAATTCGGCCAGCAACCTATCCTGCAGGTGCCAAACATCGTCTGCCGCTCTTACTTTACATTCAACATCCAAATTGTAGTTGCTAATAATATTATTACTAAAATAATTATCATAATTCTGAGGAACAGCTGACTTGTGGTAACTTTGGAGTGGGATTTTCATTGTTGGGATTGTATACGTCAGGTTTGAAATTGTACAACTCATTAAGATCAGCTGACGTGAAGTGGCGCTCAATTTGATGTTCGTCGATGACCCTCTGTGCCAGGGACTGCTTCATCACCTGCCTCTCGTAGATCTTCTCCTCCATCGTCCCCTACAACAATTTCATTTACATATTTGCATCCATCCATCCATTCATCCCCGCCGTCATCGTTGATGTCAACCAGTCAAATTTCATTCATATCCATTCAAAGAAATTAGAACTGAAAATGGAAATCCCCCAAAATAGAACTAATCATTGAAACACAAATCCTAAAACTAATGAAATCGTCCAGCACTCGCGATACATAAACGAAACAAATGAGACAAGAGTAGAAGACGAAGAGACCTGCGCAAGAAATCTGTAGACATAGACAGGCTTCGTCTGTCCAAACCTGTAGACTCTGAAGATGGACTGGACGTCGTGTGTTGGATTCCAGGAGGCATCGAATATGATGACTCGGTTGGCTGCAACCAGGTTGATCCCAAGTGAGCCTGCCTTCGTTGATATCAAGAACAGTCGCACTCTGTCGTCGGGAACATCATTATAAAGCATATAAAGTAATAAAATATTTATGTAAGAAAAGTTATATTTGTTTCAATGGTCATAAAATTAGTTAGCAAAAACTTTGAAGACAGGCGAAATGAAAATTAATGGAAGCAAAGCAGACTGTTGATTGGATTCATCGTTGAACATGTTGGTCCAATCCTGTCTGTTCTGTGCACTGGTTGAACCATCCATTCGAATGTAATCAATTCCCTTGTCCCATCCTTGAGTGCCTGCAATCTAAGTGGTTGTTTCAAAATTATCATCATCATCATTAGCAGCATCTTCATCGTCAACAACATTATTATCAAGTTCCATTTTTGTCATTCCATCACATGTCACACACCAAGCTGGTCTAATTTCATAATTATATATATATATATATATATATATATATATATATATGTGTATATATTTTGATAACAGACTGTTGTTAACGCAACATTTCAAAAATTCAACACTACTTTCAACATTGTTCAACTTTTTCATATTTCTTTTTAATTTATTAATTTCCGAGAAATTAGACATTTTATTGTTTTTTTTTTTAAATTTTTATTAAATAAATTTGCAAATGGCTATTTCGAGTTATAAATAACTCATCTTCAGTGCATTATATATAAGGTATGTAAGATATTTGATATAAAGGAACAAGTAATTATTAATTTATATAAATTATTTAATTAAAACAGAAAACCAATAAAGTAAATTTAATAACTATAAACAATATAAAACGCGATTTTTAAAATTTTTTTAAATTTTTAACGGCAAGATTGTTTATATTATGGTTGTTAAGGTAAATATCAACGCTCAGCCGAGAAGCGCGAATTAATTTATTTAATTAACTACATATTATTAATATTATTTTGACAATATTTAAAAACATTATTATTATTATTATTTTTAACGTTATTATTATTATTATCATCGCTGTGGTTCTTCTTGCTTCTTGTGATGATGTTCCATTTGCAAGTGATATTTGCGCTGTGGGTTGTGGCGTTGGTATCTACAGTGTTGGCACTGTTGTTGTTATTGTTCATGCTGTTGTTGTTGTTGTTGATGTTGGTGTTGTTGATGTTGTTGTTAGGGTTGTCACTATTGATGATGTTCCAATTGCAACTGATATTTGCGCTGTGGGTTGTAGCATTGGTATCTACAGTGTTGGCACTGTTGTTGTTATTGTTGTTGTTGAAGTTGTCACTATTAGTATGATTGTTGTTTACATCATCAATATTGTTGGTGATAACATTGTTAT